AACTATCAAATACCACCTGATATACTTTATCCTTCAGAATCTTTAAATTATTGTTCATGTACTCCCACTAGCTATATATTTATTTGTCTTGGGTCCCTATTTATATTCTTAGAGACATGAATTTAATATGTTATTATATTTCGTAGTTAATATTACCATGTTATTTTCATACCCAAGAGTATGACAGTGGGTGAAAACATTACTCAGTGGGTGGGTACACTTTCCATACCATAGAAAGCCCTATTTTTTTTTTTTCTCCAATTTTTTTTTTTTATTCTTATGTTAATCCCCATACATTACATCATTAGTTCTAGATGAAGTGTTCCATGATTCATTGTTCGTGCACAACACCCAGTGCTCCATGCAGAACGTGCCCTCCTCAATACCCACCACCAGGCCAACCCATCCTCCCACCCCCCTCCCCTCTAGAACCCTCAGTTTGTTTTTCAGAGTCCATCTTCTCTCATGGTTCGTCCTCCCCTCCGATTTCCCCCGAGAAAGCCCTATTTTTAACAGGTATTTCAAATCTTTTTTCCACCCCCCTTTACTAAAATAAAACTGACACATAACATTACGTAATTAAAAGGTGTACAGCATGTCATTTGATGTTTAGGTGTTCCAAAGTATTACCACCATAGCATTAGCTACCACCTCTAGCCCATCGTATAGCTCCCGTTTCTTTTTTGTGGTGAGAACATGAAACATTCAAGTGCATGATACTGTATTCAGTTGGGTAGCAAGTATTTGAAACCTTAATACCTGTTAAGAGTTCACTGACTGCTGGATGTTGCTTTGAGTAACGGTCTCAAAATTTTCTAAAGGATAGTCTTAGAACATTGATGTTGATTTTGTGTGCTTTCATATAATATAGGAACAGACTGAATAAAAATAAAAACTGAGTTTGTTAATTCTCAGTTGTTAACATTGAATTACAATATTAAAAGCAGACTCCCTCAAGAAAGTATAGTCATCTATGTTTTTACTTGTCATTGCTTATCTGAACCATAGATCCAAAGAAATGTAGCTAAGACGAGATTAGCAGCAAACTTCAAAGCTAGTACCAGGCACTTTAGCAAGAACATAATTAGATGGTGATTTCCTTGACATTACTTACTCAAAACATACTCTAAAGATGATGCAGGGCTTAGACATGAAAGGATATAAATACTTTTGATGGATCATTTCAAGAAACACAAAGCAAGTTGCAACAGCCAACATGTATTTCTCACAAATTACTCCATATGATTATAAATTAGAAAAATAGCACCTTGCAAATTTTTTGAATACTGGAAAACAGTAAGCAGAATTCACATTTTGAAAACAGTTAAATTTGCAACATATGTGACAAAGCGCATACATTCTAAATATACAAAGACGGCTTTTCAATAAAAAAGGTAAAACACCTTAATAAAAAGTAAACAAAGATACAAATAGACAATTCATCAAAGAAGGAATATAAACTACCAATAAGCATTTAAAAACATGCCCAAATTCTCTAGTAAAAATGTAAATTAAAGCAACAATATAATTTGTAAACTATCAGACTGGCAAACATTTTTAAATGATAATAATACTGGCACAGATATAGCATTCTGTAACACAGCACAAGTATAAATTAAATATCTTTGAAGGATAATCTGGCAACATATAGTTAAGTTCTTTACACATACACTCTGACTTAGCAATTCCACTTAGGAATTTATCCTAAGAAAATAAGTCAACATATGCATAGACAAGGATGCTCACTGCACTTTGGTTTATAACGAAAAAAATATTAAATGTAACTAGAAACTCTTGATTTCAGCTCAGGCATGATCTCAAGGTAATGAGACTGAGCCCCACATCAGGCTCTGCACTCAGCGAGGAGTCTGCTTATCCCTCTCCCCCCCACCCACCCACTCTCATGTTCTCTCTCAAATAAATAAATAAATCTTTTAAAAAATGATGAGGTTGGAAAAAAATTAAAAAATAAAATGATGAGGTTGGTTATATACTTTATTAAATGAGAATTTGCCCATAATGTATTATTAAATGAAAGAGCAGGCTATAAAATGTATGTAGAATATGATCACAGTTTTATAAAAAGACAAACAACAGGGGGGAGGGTGTGTGTGTTTTGGTGGGAGATGTGAGTACGTGGGGAGTGTATGAATAGGAAAAATGTCAGGCAGGATAATGGCCAAGGGTTAACTATGGTTGTATTACAGGTCAGCTTTCTAAGTGGTAATATTATGGGTGATTTTTCCTTTCTTCTTGATATTTTTCAGATTGCCCGAATACTCTAAAAAGCCATTTGCACTATGAAACTAAATTTAAATCATAACCAAGTATGCATAATTACTTTATAATAACAGAAATATTTTAACAAATTCTTCTTTATCTTCAGAAGCAGTCATATATTATTTCTAGTTGGGCACAGGAGACTCCTTTGTCTTTACAAAGTATGTCTCTAGGTAGACCAAAAAAGCTAAAAGTCCTTGTAGGCCCACATAGACCCTTTAAAAATGTTCTCTAGTACTTCTGGCGAGAGTTACGTCACTGGAGGTGAGACCTGACATGTCAGACTGTTGTTACTGGTAGATAAAGTATCTAATGCCGGTTGACCAAAAAGAAAGTAAAGAATTAGATGTCCTTCCGAATAACATCGTTCATTAAATGAACTGGGGTTAATAATAATCACATTAGCAATAACACCTAAAAAGGCTGTTGAGATATTCCAACTTCTAGAATCAAATACAAACTGAGTTGATATCAAGCTCAACAGCTACAAAAATAAAGTAATAAAGTCTTCCCCATGTTCCCCAAATTTGTCTTCACTCATCTTTCCCAATTTAAGGAAGAAAAAAAGCCTGTAACAACAGAATGGTAAAACAGGTTAAGTAAATCCCCACTATTTTAGATAGACATTATGGATAATTCTAAGAAGACACAAATTGTTTCCTACTCCTTAAAATACCCAAGAGGTTAGATTGAGAGTATTAGTTCTGTTTCCAAGATTACACATGTGGTTTCAATAAATCTTTTATTTCAATTTTTATTTCTTGGCCATCATTTTTTTAGATCATATCTAACAATCCAGGTCAGACTCCCTTTAAAAATATAGTTGGACACTTTCCATAAGACCTTTTTCCTCACCATTGTTAGATTCTCCTAGAAATTTAGGAGAATCTATATCTTCTACAACCTAGAAAATTAGAATTTTGGTGAAAACTTTTATCTTTTTTTTTAGAATAAAGCAATATAGGGGCACCTGGGTGGCTCAGTTGTTAAGCGTCTGCCTTCGGCTTAGGTCATGATCCCGGAGTCCTGGGATCGAGCCCTGCATCGGGCTCCCTACTCAGCGGGGAGTTTGCTTCTCCCTCTCCCACTCCCCCTACTTGTGTTCCCTCTCTCGCTGTCTCTCTCTCTGTCAAATAAATAAATAAAATCTTTAAAAAAAAAAAGAATAAAGCAATATATCAGCACATAAATTACTCTGTTCTTCTCTGGAACTGCCCTGTCCCATAGAGTAGTCACCAGCCACATATACACCTAAAATTTGGCTGGTCTGGAGCATGACATGCTCTATGTGTAAAAGACGTGGGATTTCAAAACTTCTAATGTTTCATTAATAATGTTATATTAATACATATAAAAGCAACAATATTTTGGATATATTGGGTTAAATATAATTTCACCTGTTTCTTTTTACCTTTTTAAAATGATTATGAGAAGATCAAAGGTACATAAGTGGTTTGCATTGCATTTCTTTGGGCAGTGCTGGTCTAAATGTTAGTTCATCATTTCAGGATTCTTATTACCATTTCTGTAACTCTGCAAACACTCAATAGTCTCCTTAAAAAATGGGTCTTGACCAGTGGCATTTTGCAGAAGCTTTCCTCCCTTCCTCACATTCTGTAAAATGCCTGTTGCTAATTAACTCATTTTCCCCAAAAATGACTTCTGTGCTTACTGGAGGCTTCCCTGCTACATTAATCTGAGCACTCTGGGGGCACCTGGGTGACTCAGTTGGTTAACTGTCTGCCTTCGGCTCAGGTCATGATTCCAGGGTCCTGGGATCGAGCCCCTGGTCAGGCTCCCTGCTCAGCAGGGGAGTCTGCTTCTCTCTCTCCGTCTGCCCCCCCACACCCATTCCTGCTCACTCTCTCCCTCTCTCAAAATAAATAAATAAAATCTTAAAAAAAAATAATCTGAGCACTCTGTGCTCCTTGCAAATAGAATTACCATATGATCCAATAATGCACTACTGGGTATTTATCCAAAGAAAGTGAAAACAATTTGAAAAGATATATACACCCCTATGTTTATTACAGTATTATTTACAATAGCTAAGATATAAGAAGTAACCCATGTGTCCAGTGACAGATGAATGGATAAAGAAGATGTAGTACATTGGTGTGCATAAATATATATATATATTATACATGTAATATGGTATGTGTGTATATATATATATCAAGGAATATTACTCAGCCATAAAAAAAATGAAATTTTACCACTTGTGACAATATGGATGGACCTAGAGGCTACTATGCTAAGTGAAGTAAGTCAGACAAAGACGAATACCATATGATTTCACTTATATGTGAAATCTCAAAAACAAAACAAACGAACAAACAAGCAAACAAACAACCAGAAATACAGAGAACAAACTGGTGGTTGCCGGAAAGGAGGTAGAGGAGGAGATGGGCAGAATGGGTAAAGGGGAGCGGGAGGTACAGGATTCCGTTCTGGGAATGAGTAAGTCACGGGGACGAAAGGTACCGCACAGGGAACAGAGTCGACGGTATTGTCATGGTGCTGACAGAAGGCGGCTGCCCTGACCGTGGTGCACACAGCACAGCAGTCACAGTCGTCAAATCGCTATGTTGCACACCTGAAACCAGTGTCGCATTGTGTGTCAGCTACACTTCACTCAGAGGAAGGAGGAGGAAGAAACAAACAAACACACGAAGAGGGCAGAGGTGAGCAGACAAGGGGTGAGGTGGTGACGTCAGGACGGCGTTCCGGCCCCAGCTCCCTCCATCTTCTGCTCTGCCCCGTGGTCTCCGGATGTCTCCTGAAGGGTTAGGCAGTATTTCTTTACTCCAACCAAGAAGAAGGGAAAAGAGTAAGGGTAAAAGGCATATGTCAGCATCTTTCTCTTTCTCTTTTCATGAGGACACGTCTGCTTCTATCCCACTGGCCAGAATTGGTTCACAGAGCCGCCCCTAGATAGAAGGGAATCTGGGATGGCAAGTATCCTTAACTAGGCACTCGGCTGTCCCAGAGTTTTATCAGTAAGGAAGACGGGTAACTAGATTTGGGGTAAGCCACTGGTAATGTCTACCATAGCTTTATCTTTTATAACAAATACAACTGCAATTCTTTTAGATCGAAAAAATACTAGAAAGACGGAGATTACAGAAAAATCCAACACAATCCACAATCTCAATGTAAGGTACAAAATTGGAAAAATAGAAGCCTTGAGAATGTAATTTCTATTATATGAATCATTTCTTTTTTTTTTTTTAAAGATTTTATTTATTTATTTGAGAGAAAGAGCAACAGCGGCAGGGAGGGCCAGAAGGTGAGGGAGAAGCAGACTCCCCACTGAGCCGGGAACCCAACTTGGGGGGCTCGATCCCAGGACCCTGGGATCATGACCTGAGCTGAAGGTAGACACCCAACTGACTGAGCCACCCAGGTGCCCCTGAATATGAATTTTAATTACTGGTAAGGCTGAACATAATTCTTTATAATGATTCACTCTATTTCTCTAAATGCATGAAGACAATTAAGTAATGATCCTTCATATGTATCAATGCTTTACATATTTTGAAATACTGATTCTATTTACAAACGCAACACATACGTATTACGGAAAGTCTAGATATAGAGAAAAGTATGTGAAATGGTATAAATGGTATAAAAACCGTCCATAATCCCAACACACTTTCCCCTTTAAATAGTCTATGTTATAAAAAGTGAATTTCCTTTTTTCACCTCCCCATCCATCCCATCCCTACTAAAAGTAATCACTGTTTAGCATTTGTTATATATTGTCCCAGGATTTTTCTATGATTCTTTAAAAATAAAAATGGAATCAAACTATTGTCTTAAGCAACAGGCTCTTTTTCCTGAATACTATTATCACAGACATCTTTCCAATATATATAGATCTACCTCATATTTTGATAGCTGTCTGCCATTCTACTCTATGTTTACAATAATAAGTTATGAAACCAGGGTGAAGAAGGGCAAAGAGGTCCCCCGCTGATAGCTGAGGCAGCCATATTACATCTGTCTCCTTTCCCCATTTCAGGTATGGTCTCACAGGTACCACCAATTCCCTTGCTTCCTTGGTCTTGCATTGCAATCACTCAACCTCTCCTCACCCCTGCCTCAACTCCAGACCCATTTCCTCCATTCTTGGTGGACTGCTGAGGGCTGTCAGAGAAAACCCCAAGCCCTGCAGGCTGGCTCCCTGTCCTAGCTAGGGTTCCAACCTCAGCGGGGCTGTCTTCATTGTTCACCACTGCTCTTCTCTCCTCCTCACAGCGTCTACTCCAACCCTTCCCCACCCTACTTCAAGGTCCCATCCCCACTCTGCCCTCTCATTCCGATCAATCGTATGGTTTCATCTCTAATTTACAGACTAGAGAACATGCAGGCATGACCTCTCTCACTTTCTCTTCAGCTCCAAACCTGCCTTTCTAGGCCCATCCTTCTCTCCTTTCACCCTGAGTCAGAAAAGGGGCATCTTGATTCTTTTCTAAGTGGTACCCTGCCATCTTCAATCTCATCCTCTCTGCTATATGCTCCCCTCATTATCATAGAAACAAGCAAACGTAAACGCCACCTTACTAATGTTAATAATAAAAATAACAATACTAATAATAAATATTTGTATAGCACTTAAAATGTGCCAAAACCTGTTTGAAGCACTTTACACATATGTTAACTAATTTAATCTTCATAACAGTCTATAAGGTAGGTATTAATTATAACTATCCCATTCTACCAATCAAGGAACTAAAGCACAGAGAGGTCAAGGGACCTGTCCAAGATCACACAGCTAGGAAGTACAGCGTTGAGATTCAAACCCAAAGAGGTTGGCTCTTAACCACTATGTCCCATGTATAGAAGCTTACATAGCAGAACTATAAACCAGGGAGGAAATATAAAGCAGAGTGGGTTTCAAAGAGTGAAGGGGCAGCAAGGCCTGTAGAGCACCTAAAACAACAGAAAGGGACTCTCTAAGCTAGACAGGAAATCAGGGGACAGGTACCAGAGCCCACTGTATGGCAAATGATGGCGAGGTCATCAGCGGGGTCTATCTTGTTTTGCCTATTCTATGAATACAGCTATTTTCATTTTCTCTTGATTCTATCATCTCAAATTATGTCCATACAAGTAGTTAGCCTGACAGAGGAGCTCTTCTTATCCATGGCCAAAGCCAATACTCCTAAGCCCATGGGAACCAACCGGGCAAGAGATGAGTGGCTCAGCACAAATCCTCCCCCAACGTGTGCACAGTACCTCCACGCACTTGCCGTACGCAAGTGGCCAGCTTGTGCTGGAGGTGACCCACACCATTCAGCCACCTTTTTGATACTTAAACCCTCTCTACTCTCTCCAGCCTTGAAAACCTTGCCCCAGACAGATCAATCCCACTCAAATCATGGTAACTCTTCCTTAATATTTACCAGAACTGTCTCTTCATGGCCTTCCAATTACCATGTTTTTTCCTAAGCTATCAAAGATTAAAACTAATACTTCAAATAATAGTCCTTTAGATATCTTTGGGAAGTGAATATTGTGTGATTTTCTACCAAACCATCCCCTCTTTCCCCACAACACACACACACACACACACACACACACACACACACACACACACACACACCCCTCTTCTTCACCAAGCTAAATAAATATACTCAGTCCCATAAATACAAACAATCCTTCATAGGACCTGGTTTTAAATCTCTTCCTCATCCTTGTCGCTCTGTAATCCATAGATCCATTTTGCTCATCTCTCCCATAATAGGCAGCGTAACTGCTACACCCCACTGCTGACTCACAGTGAGCGAATCCTAAAGATTTGTTTCACATATGCAGCTTGTAACAGCCATGGCTCATCCTTCCTCTACTGATGCAGCTGGAATTCAGGACTCCTGTCTGCCCACTGAAGTTCATACTAAACTTGTGAGCCTCAACCTCATTTCACTGCGCCTACCTTCCCTAGCTCCTAAGAGCTGGATCCACTGACATGAGCAATACCATTACCACCTTCAGACTAAACTGGATCCCACTTCCTCCATCAATCTTGACCAAGGCAAATGCACATTCACAGCCTCAGCCTACCATCTGAAACACAGAATTAAGTCACTTTTCCAGCTTTTACTGACAAATCAAACCTGGGATTCGGGTGGTTCCAGGACTATTCCCAGGGCTCCTACACTGCCCCTTCCCTCACTCCTGCCCCAGTGCATCCCTAAAACTGAGTATGAATTTTATCCCTAAATCACCAGTTCAATGGCCACAGATTACTGCTTTCACCCAAATCAGTGATCTTGAAACAATATTCCCTTGTAATAGGAAGAATAAGACAAAACTGCAAAATTAGCCATTTCCAGAAGCTATCATTCAGAAAACATATTCTTTGGTCTATAGGTAGCAGGCTAACCTTTTTCTATATATGGAAGACAATCTCACATTCCCCTAGAAAGTGTTACTGAACTTCCAAAAGTAACTTTCAATAAATATTTAAACCAATTAATGCCAAACAGTTGGCAAGCATATACACTAAGCTTTAGATACTACCAATAACATCATTTTTCACCAAAAATATGTCAACAATCACAGGCAAAAGGACAGAGGTCATCTAGCCCTACTCCCTTGATGTTAAAGTAGGAAAACCAAGGCTCCAAGAGACTAAGTGACTTGTCAAGGTGACAGATCAGGCCACTGACAACCTTGAAACAAGGACTCAGGTCTCCAGATTCCCCACCCACAAAGTACCTAGAAATCTATGAGGTACAATGGGCTTTACAGAGGTTGAAACAGACACTGTATCTTCCCTAAAAAGTACATACATGTGGTAAACAATGTGATCCACAGAATATTATGAAATGCTAAGCAATTAAAACATAAAGATGATACAGATCAACACTCATATGCCTTTATCATAACAGCTTCTCCAAGTGTTGACTGTAAAACAAGATAGTTGTTAAAAGCTGATCATTTGGATCCTCTTTTCCACTTAGTAGCTACATATGCTTGAGGATGTTATTCAACCTCTATTTCCTCATCTGGAAAGTGAGGATAGCAGTGTTTACCTCACAGAGTGCTAATAAAGACTACATAGTAAGTTATAATGTACTTGGAACAGTGCCTGCCCCTGTAGGCACACAATAGTTGCTCTTCTCTACTTATGTATTATTCTTTTCCACTTAGATAACAACCAACTCTTGATATTTATCATATCTCTATAAGTCTAGCCAACTTTCACATGACACTGGAAAAGAAAACAAGTTTTCCTAAAGGATCCAGGTTTTGAGTCAAAAATTAAATAATAGTAGAGACATGGCAGAAAATAATGGATATACATCCAAGGCATATGACAAGTGGTCAGAAATCAGGTGAGCTGAATTATGGAGAATGACAGGCTTTGCCTGCCTTGGATCGGCAGGTATGGGATGAGAAGTGCCAACAGTTTTCAAAACCAGTCAAGCCACAAATATTTTATTTACCATATCAAGTTTGCAATCCACCACAACTATCGGCCAAGAGCCTCTTTACGCTCCCTAACCATTCTAACTTTCTCTACTTCTTCCCTGTATCAGCAGCCTCAAGGAGAAAAAAATCCCTCAGGAAATAAAAATGGAGATGTCTCTGAAATACAATTCCCATTTCATTTCCCATGAAAAGTAAACAAAAATGAATTATAAAGAGAAGCACAATGCATTCATTCCCCCTTCGATCTGCTGCCTGGCTCTCATGAGGTAGACCTGCCTATCCTCTAGGCTCCGAGTCAGAGGGGCTGTCCATGGCTGGCGAATGGTTAAGAGCAATTCAGCTGCACATGAGCAGAAGAGGTAAAAAATCTCCGTCGGGATCAGAGCACACTCTGGGGGAGAGCTCTAAGGGGATCAGAATTTAATCAAAATCACTTACCTGATGCTTACATCCATGCAACAGCATATAAAATGGAATAATGAGAGAAGAGATGGACCAGGTTTAAGTGGCTAGACAGGAGGTGACAATGCTGACGTAGGGTGATACACACAAGGACAAAAGAGAGATTTTCAGAGTCATAAAGAACGGTGGCAAGATATGACAGCAAATTGGCCATACTGGTTAAAACTTAATGAGGCCTGAAGATCACCCAAGATAATAGGATTTAGTAGGAGACAGAAAGTAGGTGCTGCTGGCAATTGGGACGAGACCAGCCCTCAGAGAGAGGATGTAGGGAGAGTCACAAGTTGAGCCTTTTCATGTTTCATTTTAGGGAAAAGCCAAGTATCCTGTTGGAAGCATCCTCTGGGTAGCTGGGAAATCATAATATTATGGAGCCTTTCAGAACGTCAACCAGCTCACAATTTAGTTGATTGAAGAGCTTTCTCTCATCAGCAATATGTTTTTACATGACAAGCTCTTAAAACATGGGATAGGCACAAGAAGGATTTAGAACATATTAAAACTGAGTAACAACATATTATGAATTATGAACAAAAAGTGGGAGTATTTAAGCTGTAAGTTCAATATATAAAGATGATTTTTTGGAGAATACCAATTTTTTCCATTAAAAAAAAAAACATTTATGTCACTGTCAGGCACAGAATATTAGGCATATGGATCATTATTGTGACCTCAGGTAGTATTTCACAGGTTTATTATATCACATAAAGTAGGTATAATATTACTTTAAGTTCTATGAATCATATTTTTATTCAAATTCTCACTGACAAATTCCCATGTCAGTTTTCTTGATGGACTTAAAAATATAAAACCAGTCATAAAACAGTCCAAGGAAACTGGAAGCTTTTTTTAAAACAATCATTGGTGACAGTTAAACTTGAAATAAAAAAAAGACTTACCACATTTTCCTTCAGCTTCCTCAGCTTGTCATCTATCTCTCTCAGCCGGTTTTGCTGATCCCGTTGCTCTTTGGTGTTCCGAAGCACCTTTTCTCCTGGAGTTATTTCCATATTTCTATCATCATCATGAAGGTCAGGTTCCTAATTAAAAAAAAAAAAAAATTCATGCACAGGCTGAAAATGTACCGTCATACACTGCTCCGAAGCAATTGAGCTTTGAAGGTTGGTTTTGCTTCTCAGACAGTATTTCTTTCCTTCCAAATGATATTCATAATTCTCTAAACTCTTCCTATTTGAGAGGGAAAGGTCCAATGGTACATGAAACAAGTGGAAAATAAACTCAGTCATCTGGAAAGCAAGAAGTTCAAGTGAAAACAGCAGTGGCCGGGAAGCAGCACCTGGGCTCTCATCCCCACTCTGTACTTACCGGCTTAAGACCATGGGCAAATCACACTTTCTCTGGACTCCACGTTTATTATATATGAATGACAAGAAAAAAATCCTGCCCATTCCTGCTATGAGAGACCAAGGTTCAAGAGCGAACTGGACTCGGCAAAGTCAAGAGTTTTGAATACTAGCTCTACCTGGTTCCTGACTAAGATGGTCTTAGGGAAATCAATTAACCTCTCTGACCTTCAGTTTCATCATCTGCAGAATGATAATAATATCTAGCCTAAAAGTCATCACACTACGTAGTCAGCATGCAACAAATCTTAGTGCCTAACAAATGTGAGTGAAATATATCCTTTGAAAAGAATATGAACTACATGGTGAAAGTATTTCACTATTATCAGCATTATTTGAATGGACAGAACCATAACCTCCCAAAGTTAATATTATTTCTAGGTGATAAAAACAGGTATTTCTTGACAGTAAGTTGGCCTTATATCTATAGCTAAACTTTCCAATTTTCTCCCACAGATCTCCTACTCCATGTTACCATTCAGATGCCTGACATCGATGTCATGTCTGAAGTGGCTCAAACCGGAATTCTCCCACATTCTCACACCTTACAGACGGTTGGTCGCTATCTCATTTTCTACTACCTCTTAATCAAGGCCCTCCTCTCTTTCTCACTCCCTCATCATTGCCCTGAACCAGTGATTTTCAAAACCCAGGGTGCTTCAGACCCACCCACAGAGCCTGGGAAAATCTTCAAAGGCCCCCTCCCCATGGACATTCCGACTCAATGGGGGACTGACAGCCTGAAGCACAAGTACTTGAAAATTTGAGAATTGTCACCGTAAGCTACTGCTTGGGCCTCTGCACTGATCTGAGAGCCACCAGTCTCCCCATGCACTCCAGCCTCTGCAGAGAAGCCACAGAGCAAGGTGCAAAGTCCTCACCCATTCCTGAGCTGTGCCTGGACTAGCTCTCCAGTCTCATCTCCCACTGCTTGGGTCTCAGACCCAAAGGCACGGCAGTATTCACTCCTCCTAGTTCTCCACCTCTCCATGCCTCTTTCCTCCAGCTCCTCATGAACACTCCTACTCTGTTTGAGCACAAGAGTATTTCCCCTATGAAATGTTCCCTGACATACTTAGGAAGGGCAGTTATCTTGATCATGCCACATGTTCCTCATTGCATTTACCACACTGCGGCTGCTCAGACAGGGTCGTGACTGATCCCAATCACTGTACTCCTGAAGCCGTATGGACACTGGTCCATAGACTGTACAGCTGACCCTTTAACAGCATGAGTATGAGCTGCTCAGTCCACTTTCATGCAGATTATTTTTCAGCAAATAGAGTACTATAAATGTACTTTCTCTTCCTTATGATTTCCTTTCCTCCACCTTTCTTTACTGTAAGAATGCAGTATATGATACATACAGCATTCAAAATATGTTAATTGACTCTTTGTGTATTGGTAAAGCTTCCGGTCAACAGTGCGCTATTAGCAGTTAAGCTTATGGGAAGTCAAAAGTAATGCACAGATTTTCAACTGCACTGGGGGGAGAGGATGTCAGTGCCCCTCACCCCCACATTGTTCAAAGGTCAACTGTGATTTGGTTCTCAGAACTCTTATCACATTAATGTGTCAATGAAATTTATATTGTATAAAATTCTAATGAGGAGACTATTGAAAGAGTATTTTAATTTCAAGAAGCGATTCTTTTACTTTTTTTTTTTTAAAGATTTTATTTATTTATTT